GAACTGCGACAGGCTGGGGGCATCGCTGGGCGCGCTGATCTCAGCCTCCGGCAGCATGGTGGTGCACACGTCCTCGTACCGCGGGCAAGCAATGTTGCCGTTCCCATCAAAATCGCCTTGCACCTTCAGAGACTTCCCCTCCGGGCACAAGTAATACGTGGGGGCACCAGCGTACTGCACGTACACCGACCCCTTATAGCACGCCACGCGCACACACACGTCACCAATCGGCTCGCCCTTTACCGTCAGACCATTTCCATGCACGCACCGCGAGTTCGTGCCGACAAGACTCCCAGGCATGTTGCTCTCAGTGCCATCAATGCAGCTGTAGCCTTTGTCCGCCACAATAATGGGGCAGTAGTCCATCATGTCCTCCCGCCTGCCACCACGCTGTATGTCACCATCGGTCTTCTCGAAGTACCTGTACATCTCGGGAAGCTTGTTATGATTTTGAATGGCACACGTTCCCAACGCCTGGCGGTCAGACGTGCATCGCAATTTGGGTTCCTCTGTTTTGTCGCAGAACATGCTGGGGTACTTAGATTTACCGTTTTCAACGCATTTCTTATCTTTCAGAAACTCGCAACCAGAGTTATTTCCCCAACTCATCGGCTCTGCCTTGGTCCACACAACCTGATAATAGCCCAGGTCAGCGAACGCTGCAAGTGTCAGTCCAGTGTAGTGCCCAGCGCCCACAAGACCAGCCATCAGCTCGTCCTTCGCATTGCGCCGCTTCCAGTGGGAACTCACACCAAACTTTGTGGAGAATCTCCCGTCTTTCGGGTCAAGATTCAAAAGGTTTGCAGCCTTCCAAGAATCATCTCCCCGAAGAGCAACAGCAGACCTCGAATTCATTACATCGGTTTGCAGCTCGTTCACAGATTGTCCACTGTCTGCCCACGCAGTAGTGTCCTCCATCTCCATGCCATTAAAGTCTTTGCATTGGTAGTGATACGATCCCCACTTCCTTGTATACTTGCCGTAAGAGGCATAGATCCTCTTTCCGCGGGCCTCATAAGCAGCTAGCGAAAACAAAAATGTGTCCTTCACGATGTCAACATTGAACCCCAGGGTGTGCGCAATCTCGTGTGCGGCGACGCGGACGGCCTGCGACGTGCGTGCAATGTGGCGCGGGCTGTAGTTGATCACGCCAATCACCGGCCGCCCATC